CTTGTTATTTTTAAAAGCTTCATTAATAAATATTATTCGCTTTTTACATGCCAAGCTACTAACCTTCAGTCACTTTTATACAGAAATAACAAACTGTCTTGAGTTAAATAAAGAAAAATAGAATATTCAAAATAATGTTTATAATGTTTTGAGTCTATATCTACAATGAGGTTAGGTATAAGCATCATCTAAGATAATAATCTACAAGAATATATACATGTATAAGTCACATGTTTATAGTAAAATTGTTTAAAATCTATAAGGTATCTAAGAGTTTAATTATATCTAAGTTTCTAAAACTTACTTTCTTTAGTTATTATAAGTATATGGTAACCTAAAAGTAATAAGTTTTGTAGAAGTTATCTACCATGTATAGGGTAGGAAAAATTTCTAAAAATTTTCACCTATATAGTATAGTAAAAAAAAAGATACTTTGCAGATCAATTTTATAAAAGCTGTTTTGAAAGGGTATTTATACTATATAACCTTAACTTGGTGTCTTAAGTAAAGTTGTATACCAAGTCCTTATAGTCCTAACAGATATTTAAATATTAAAATCTATTTGCAGGAAGCTGAGATATAATAATTTTTATAAATCACTAAAACCATATATTTCTTCTCTTCTTAGATCTTTTCTAAAAAAATCATTTTTAAAAATACTAATAGAATCTTTAAAGCCGATTTACGAGCCAGAGAAGCATTTTCGTACTAAGATATACCTTAATAAAAGTTGTAGAGTAGGTTCTTGCAAGTAGAATTATATATGTTTATCCTTCTATGTTTGATATTCGTGAAGATATTAGTGAAATACAATAAGTAATTATAAATTATTCTAAAGAAACTTCTCTTTAGATTTTCTTTTAGTTATCAGATACACTATAATCCTGATGGGTCATCCATAGTTTTATCATCATCTGCTCATATTAGATAGTATATCAAATAGTAGCCTTTTATTTTCTTTCTGCTAAAAGGCATCAAAATGTTATAAGTAGCATAGCTTTCTTAATATACTACAAATAATATAAGACACAAAAGAGGAACTCCTAATAGTATTAAAGTAAAATATCATATCACTGTAGCAATTCATTTAAAGGAAGTATTTTTGGCAAAGTCAAGATATACTTTATTAAGAATTAATAGAGAACTTTATTAGAAGACTGTAAGGAACTACAGAACTTATTGAGTACTAATTAAAAAATGTCAGAACTAGTCAAAACTAGTTAGAACTTAACAAAACTACTTTACAAGAGAGGAGAAAAACTAGAGTTTATATATCTTTTTCTTAAATATCCTCAAATGTAGTTAAATATTATAGTCAGAGATATTTCCAAATTTGGCATTACTAAATATCACAATGATCTGCACTGTATAACCATACAGAAATTTTCTAGAATAATTAGAATAAAACCAAATTTGATTGGCTATATGATATATTATATATATATATACATATATTACCTGCAAGAAGTCTAATTTTTACCTGATCTGCATTAGGTATGAGTGCAAATGAATTTTCTGTTTGTATGCATATCGATATAGCTCAGAGCATTAGAATTCTAAAAAGCACAAAGGAATTACTCGAGTTAATATAGCAACGTATACTAGTTTTTTTATAATCCTACAATAAAAACAAGTACTATAAAGAGAGAAGTATAACATTCTTTATTAGAGTTTATTAAAATTCTTGTGGTGCAAGAACTTGGAATTCCTGTATTGTCAAGTTCATTGTCTTTAAGCTCTGAAAAATACTAATCTTGTTTTGATATTTTTCTTACAACTTTAATAGAAAAATCGTAGTCTCTTAGGCAGCTTGAAGTTATAATTTCATTTAACATTCTTTTTTTGATATTTGTGCAGGAGAGGAGGGGAAAAATTAAACAATCATTAATTTTAAACGAGGTTAGAATGATCCTAAATAGTCCCAATTAGGTTCAAGTTAACCTAAATTTGTCCTGCTCATGAACAGGTGATTGATTGTCTAGTTTTCCCAAACTGCCTTATATTTTTTTAACCAAATATATATTGTTTAATTTGAGAGGAAGCTTCAGAAGTGGAGAGGGAAGAGAGAACGTTAAATGAAATTATAATTTCAAACTGCCTTATAATAGTAACTGAATAAGTATATTTTAGGCTTATTTTTGATAAGAATAGTAGTTTATTTAATCTTTTAAAAACATAATTGTTGATAATGAGATTATAGGTATTCAAGTAAATAACATATATTTTAAATTAATTTTTGATAAATTAGAAGCAGTTATTGGTACAATGCTATATTGTAACATATAAATTTATAATTATTTATTTATTCTCTGGTTCTATCTCATTTTCAGGTTCATCTTGGTCATTGTACAGATTTTTAATACTTTGCAATATCTCTAGCAATTGGCTATGAGTCTTTTGCTTTAACTCACAATATTTTGGATGATCAGAGATATTGATAGAATTTAATAATGAATTAATAAGTACTAAAAGATTATCTTTCTTCATATTTTTTTCGCTCATGGCTGCTTCTTCTTCTTGTGTAGTTATAGGTATTGGCTGAGGTAAAAGACTTTGCTTGTTATTTTTAAAAGCTTCATTAATAAATATTATTCGCTTTTTACATGCCAAGCTACTAAAATTTTTTAGTTGTTCACTAAGTAAATACTTCTCTCCAAGATTTTTAAATACACGATTATTATTTTGTAGATTCAAAAATTCTATTTTTTGTAATTGAACTTAAAATTTTTGCGACTCTGAGATATAATCAGAGTGTGACTGACCTTCTGGTAATTCATTATTAGTATGTCTGATCATATTAAATAATATATAACGCAACTAATTATTATTTCAAAAAATAAGTATAAATAAACACAAGTTTTTTTTATTGAAAAAAATAGATAAATATTAATGTATTTTGCAGAGTATAATTAAAAATCTATCTGATTAGTTGTCGATCATTATAATAGCCTCTATAATAAAACACAACTGATCTTATGATAAATCGTTAATGAAAATGATTAAAATATACCAGAAGCAAGTTACAATGAAGAGTCAAATTTCTTTAAAAATTTATTAGTCATTAACTATAAAAATTTATTAGTTACTATTTGTAACTAATAAATTTTTATAGTTAATGACTAATAAATTTTTAAAGAAATTTGACTCTCCATTGTTACTTGTTTCTGTTACATTTTAATCATTTTCGTTAATGATTTATCATAAGATCAGTTGTGTTTTCTTATGAAGTGTCTACTATAAACAGCCAATAGAATTTCAAGAATTTACAACTAATTAGATGGATTTTTAACTATGCTATTTTGCAGACCTTTATAAACTTCATACAATTTCTGCTGCTATTCTTCAATGTTTTTGTGAAGGTACGAGTGGAATTAGAGCTTTTAAAGACTTATTTACTTCTTCAAAGATGGCATCAAGACCTTGATGCTAGTTAGAATAACCTGATAGTGAAATAGATGAATATAACTCTATATGTTGTCTAATCTCAGGATTTAGTCGCATCAATTGCACCTCATAAGATATTTCAATTAAACAGTAGATAGGGTATCTACGATCAGACCATATTGTACAAACATATGTCAAGTAGTATTTACCAATAATAGCTAGTTGTTTCTAACTTCTATATGAAAGTTAATGATTGCTTGAAGGTATGTAAATATCTATAATATCAGCAATTGTTAGTAGGGTTAAAAATTACATTTAATAATTTTATATTTCATGTAATTTTGCATAAGTTTCAGTAATATGGATTGCATGTAAATTTCACATGTGATGTAAACTACCAGCATTATGAAAAACTTAGCTAGTATTATTGAACTACAATAGACTCCTACATACAGTTTACTAATCAAAATTGATAGCATATGATCTAACCAATTACAGTGAATTATATGATAGTATAATCACATTTCTTACAAATTATATAAAAATTATGTTACTGTAAACTTACTCAAAATTATGTAAAATTACGATAATTTTACACCATAATTTTAGTTATATTTTTAGATACTTATGAATTCTTTTAAAATTTTACCTGTTCAAATTTTAGTTTATATATGTGATCATTTTATATTTTTGCCCAATTTAGATAGCCATCAACAGAAGAATCATCAGTTGCAACTATGTATGGCTATAATAATTCACACACCATCATATGTCAGTAAATATTGCAAATAGAGTCCTATGATTTGTGATGGTTAGTGTATTTTTTAAAAAATCCAAGTTGGTTTTTAGTTCTATATCCTTGGAGAGTAGCGAATTGCTTGATATCAATCGACCTTAAAAATGTATTAGAAAAATTAATTAAGTATCAAGCAAAAAAAATGTCTGAGATATTCATTTGAAGGAATAATACCAATTTAGCTCTACAAATACTTTAAGCATATTCATTTCTTTATGCAGAGCTTTGGAAATCAGTATAAGCCATAGGAAATCGTTTTTAATCTTTTGTACTAGATTATAAGAAACACCATCGCAAATAACAGGTAACCATTTTCTTGTCCCTTCATTGATTTCAGTGATACTTTGTATATGTTCTAAAACTTTTTTAACATTATTTAACAAATTAGGATTAACTTCTAATGAATCTAGCACATGTATTTCTGGAATAACAACATCTTAATCAGGTTTAGATTGTTGTGTAATACTAATATACTCTAAATAAGAAGCTTTTTCTTGAGCATACTTATAGATTTTTATTATGAGAGTTCCTGATTGAGAAGGTATATTTTTATTAACCTGAGTTAATTCCTTAGTGGATTTAGTTTGTAAGACAGCTAATATATCTAATTTTTTATTACACTTAGGACAAGTACATTTTTTATTATCTATATTGGTTGTATTATATTTTTTGCACTATTTTGAATAGCTTCTAATGCCTTTTTGATTTTTTATAATTTGATCAATTGTATTTTTTCTTAGCTTTTTTCTGTGATAAGTTCTTCTAAAATTGAAGCTAAGTATATATTTAATTCATGGTCACATTCTATCTTTATTTCTGGTGTAAGATAATATAACTTTTCATATTGTTGATTATTTAGTGAATCATAAAGCCAAGGGGTAGTTGTAAATTGGGCCTGGTCAATTTTATTCATATTTAGTGCAATAAAACTCGTAACCATATAATAAATAACCGTATTATATCCACGATTAAGATAATTATACTAACCTTGTTGTTCATTATCAAAAGCTATAAATAGAAGTCCCTTAGGTAAAGGTTCTTGTTCTATAGCCAATGATTTTAGCCAATTAACGAATTTTGTATAACTTCCAGAACTAATTATATGATTATTGATATCAATAATTGTTCTAGATTGTACTAACAAATATTTAATCCCAGACATGGTGGGATTTATTTCAGACACATAGTTATTATGTCTTGACCCATATATTGTATCAATCGCAACTATTTTTTTAAATAGCTTTTACTTAAAGTATAATTATAGTTATTATTATCATTAAAGTAAGCATATTAATAAAGTTAACAATGACTGGGTTACGATTAGCTAACCAATTTTCAGGTACAAAATTTAATAAACTGTTAAGAGAAAATTATTGTTTATTTAAAATTAATGATTCAATATCATTATAAACATTTTGCTATTCATAATTTGCAATCTGAATTATCGAGTCAATTCTTTTTTTTTTGATTATTATAACGATTTTCCTAATTATATTTTAATGCATTATTTTATTTAATTAGCTCTTTATTTATTTTATTTATTTCTTGAATTCGTCCCTAACTTTTGATTACATAATCATATATATATTCTAATTGTTTTTGAAGGTTTTCTATTTCATATATTTTTATACTCAATTGCACTTGAAGTAGATTAATATAATTTTCAAAGGTATATGACATATTATCAGATACTTGTATACCAATCTCATAGGTCATTTTATTACCAGTCTCTTCAGTTTGAATGCCAATTTCACAAGTATTTTTTTTAACTTCTATTTTATAAGCATACTCTACATAAGCCTGCTTTTCAACTAATTCATTTTCCAAATCAAGATGATATACTTGTTTATTTTTAGATAGTTGTGAATAATTTGTATTTGTAAGAACTTGTCGTAAAAAATCGGATACAACAACTTGGTTATAATGCTTTTCATATAAAAAAAAATCTTTTAAGTGAAATTGAATTTGAATTAATTTAGGAAAAAAACAATAATACAATGGAAGGTGACTTTTTGCTAATTTACTATTCACATGCTATATTGTTTGTCACTCTTTAGTTTCACATTCTAACAATCCAGAACTATTATATAATAAAACCGAAGAAGCTAATGCACAAGGTAGTTTATATACTAGTCATCGCTTACGCTGTTAATATTGACTTGATTCCACTAATACAGTAATAAATTAGAATAAGTGTATTATGATAAAGAACCAAATAAAAAACTAATATACTGTACCTGTCTAGCTCATATTTTTTACTGTATATTGCGGCTTTGGATAATGTCTTGAATTAAAAAAAAAAAAAAAATGCTATGATAAAAAAATCATAGAATTAGTAATAATGATGTAAAGAACAAATTACAGGTCACACTTCGAAAGATTAAAAAAAAAATTTTTTTTAACAAAAAAAAACACCATATTTTGCTAGTATTATAAAACAGAAAAGTGTAGAGCTAGTGCAGCAACTTAAAGCTTAGATGATTGTTCGCTTTTCAAGGAACAAAGTACTTGTATTTTAAGAGTTCGATAATTGTTTTAAATTTAGTATGTGAAAAATGTGAAAAATATCAGAAATCAGGTAAAAAGGTATATTACACTAAACCTAT